CGAACTGGCGTGATGGGTTCTGAGTTATGCGGGACACTCTTTACTTATCGAATGAAAGGAGGAATTGATTTTTGATTTTGCTAGGTTGTACATGTTACCTTTAATCACCACTGAATCGAATAAGATAATTATGACATGTATTTTTATCGTCAATGTTGGAAGAGGGTCCAATATATACTTTTGTAGTGGGATTTCTTGTACTAAAGCATGTTTACTATAAACTTTAAAGCTGCATAAACAACTTATGCTGAGTTAATGTTCAGTGCCTTCGATTCTTTCAATTACGCAGTCCCTGACAACGGATGAAAGTCACTTGTGCCGATCTTCTTCCAAGCTCTTGATGGGGAAATATAGCGCCACCGCGTTGAATACTGTGCATTAACCGACTAACAGCCAGCTCCTGGTTCTCGTCTGTACTGCATTTGTAAACACATTGAAATGGGGTACAGTCACGTTCAGAAATGAAGGTTTTCGAATATGGCATAGAATGATGGTAAAAAGGCAATGAAGACTGATGTTTTTAAGTCTGAGTGTTCAATGTTATTATGCGAGAATAGCGTAAAATTTTAAGTCGTTTATCAGATATATTGTGTAGAGAAGGGGTACGTAGTGGCCGTGCGGTCACTGGGACCGTGGGTTCGAATCCCACTCAAGCCATGGATGTCTGTCCGCGTTTTTCTGTGTCGTGCTGTCCTGTGTACAGGTAGAGGCCTTGCGACGGGCCGATCCCTCGTCCAAGGAGTCCTACCGAATGTCTATAGATCAAAGCGACGAAAGGTTTGGACCCGCAGTGCTCAGGCACTTGAAGAACGGGTCGTTCCCAGTATTGTGTAGAGAAAAAGTCTCAAAAGCGTATGAACGAAGTAAAATGATATCTAGAACGGAGCTGTGTCAATAGAAACGAATTTCGTGACGAGTTATATTGAACCAGAACGCGTTTGGTCCCTTGAACTACAAATAACTCCGAAATACATTTAAATTCAGATTTCTAGGTTTTTCTCATCCAGCCATCGCAGTAGAGGCACTGATTACACCCAACTATCTGCCGAGTTAAAAATGAAAAAAAAAACTTGAGACCGTGAAGGAGTAATCAAGACGAAGAGAGTAAGAGAAAGCTGGGATTCGATCCTAAAAGCATTTCCTCATTATAAGAACGAAGAGATGGGTAAAAGCTGTCACAGCACATGAAAAGTGCACAGTGCAGATTACAGGCCTGCCAACTGCAGTTGTTTCTGTACTCACAGGAATTACAGCCTAGAGACCGAGGGTCATTAATGACTGATTCATCATAAATCTGTTTTATGTCAATTAATTTTGGTCTCATGGAGATTATCGCATCATCATCTGAGGTTTTTAGATTGTTTATTTAGGCGTACAGCGTAAACTTAAAATACCACCTGAAATTCTTTAGAACAGATAGGAGAGTTCTGTCCAAATGCAGTTTGAAGGAGTTGTGTAGTTGGTTGTGGGCACGAATCATCTGGTTCCGAATAGTGACCAATAGTAAGTGGGATTTTGTGAAGTATAATAACTGATTCCATGGAAGAGAATTCATCTTAAGAAGCTGATAGTATGGTTATGTGTTGTTTATGTTTATTACCGTGTTTCCAGCAGTCCACCAACTTTCCATACTGTAAGCCACGTCCGCCTCAACTAGCTGGCTACCGATGCATTTTAACTGATGAGTTCTGTTCCAGTGTATGGAGTACAAGTGAACTTCGAAGCGAAGTCAAACTTTTTGTTTTTGTTCGTTTTTCAAAGTGTTAGCTGGGGTAACACGGTTAACACGAACTGGTATACTTCTGTACAAATTAACCACTCCATCGGGAAATACAACTGACAGTCCGTGCTGTCACGTTTCTTATGGCTCTCTCCCTCTCTCTCTCTCTCAGAAATACCCGCTGATGGACGCTCGGCAGAGAGACCATCATCAGCAGACATTCTGTCGAGCTCAGCAACATTTGAATATCCTGAAGCTGAACGCAACCATGCTGACAGCCAAGCAGTGTAGGTCACATCCGCATGCTCAGCTGTGTGACGCCAAGAGCGCTCTGAATGTCCTACCCCTATTAATTTTAAACTTCCATCTAGCAGACTGCGGGCTGACTTTGTGGAAATTTACCTGTGTCTGTCTCATACAGGAACCAAAGCATCTGTCCATCTTGCGATCTTAATACAAGAATGGTTATATAATTCATTCGGACTAATCTATATATGCTATGGTAAAGTGTAATAACAAATCGGGTTACTCCAGAAGGTCCCAGGATTGAACCCGACTGTCGTCATTATTGTTAGAAATAAAAATGTAATGTATCTGTTTTGAACACCGGTTTCCTGAACCCTGGGATACAACGTGCACCCCGAAACGTCGAGCATATAATATACCTCAGTGGGCAATATACAACAGGGTATTAGTGTATCGAATCAACATTTGTCACAGACCATCAGATAATCATCAGACTTTTACAAATAGATTTAATATATATTTATTTGTACAGTCTATACACAAACGTTTGAAGTTTAATGGTGTTGTAAAAATTATATAATATTAAAACATTTGTTGTATAAAATATTATATTAGCGCTCTTAATCGTAAATACGACACCATTAAACTTCAAACGTTTGTGTATAGACTGTACAAATAAATATATTTAATCAAACACAAACATGACGAATATAAGATACAAATAGATTTAATTAAGTAGAGAGACAATTTGTTGCTGAATTTTAAGTGCCCAAAATCAACACATTATTTTATATAAATTTAATTGGCATTAATTGTGTACATATTTTATTTTGTACGTGTAATTTTGGAATGACTGTTTTTTTTTTTTAATTTTTGGTTTTGTATGACCGAGTAATCTTTGATTTTGTCACAAGTTGGCTCTGAAGTAGGAAGTTTGACAGGCTTTTGTGTGCTCTTAATATGAATGGCGAAAAATGCAATTGATACCACTGAGTGCTATAGTTCGCGTGGAATACTGAGGATGAAAATCATTCACTGTGCTCGTTTGTATTGCAGTAGGCTGTGGGCAGAGACGTTCCAATCGGTGGATGGTTAAGCACAACTTCGCTGATTGAGTGATGCAGGCTTGTGAAAGGGGTCGGGGGAAGGGGGGGGGAGCCCTCTGTGTGAATGGCAGCGACAGAATTGCTGTAATTTGGAATGGAAATTATGACACGACCCGTTTGAAATTAGATATCAAATGCTGAATGATGATTTTCAGTCAAATTGTCACAATTACCTCCTTACCCTTTTGTGTTCAGTTCATGGAAGGAATTAAAAAATGGAAACTTGTGTTTTCGTCCTTTTATAAAAAAAACTAAAGCTTTGTATAGAAACCAAAAATTTGACTTCTCTTGGAATAAATATCAGCGGTCCTTTATCCCGGACCAATTAAATGCACTTCATATTTCCAAAGCATGTTTTTAAGCTTAATTGTTTATTACCAATTCCATATCTGTATATCAAGTGTTTCCTTTCAAAATCCTTTATGAATTTCTTGTTTCCACTAGTTCGTAATTACTAGAAAAATTATCCATTGTTTATATTCATCCACATTTTATTTAACCACGTATAGCATATTTAATGCAACATATAATAAAATGAAGATCATTTTAATTATGATAAATTAAATTAATTTAAATATAAGCACATATGTAAAGGCCGATGTTTGAACAGAAAAAGAAATGTCAAGTCAGTATTACGAAAAACGAATAATATAAGAGAAAATTATAAGGGCATCTAATCACGTGCATGAGAACATATTTTTAAATTTGGCGTTGCTTTGTTGTTACCTTTTCTGTTTTGCACTTTTTATGCCCAATTTATTACACGTACGCTAAAAGAAGTTTTTGTTGTTTTGTATCGAATACACATAATTAATAAGCAACTTAAACGCCCTATCATAATATTTATATCAGCTCAGTTAATATACTTACTAGACTGTATTCTTTACTACCGGGGTTCGAATCCCGGATTCACATAATATTTTATTTTGTCTTCAACGTGAAAAGAGTTTTCTGGCTCCTAGCCTCCTGTCCAATGGACCATGTAGAGTTTTTGTCCAAAAATGACGCATTCTCCATTATAATGCATCAGTTTGTGACAGTATTGGATACAGAATGATAAGTGTTCTCGCATTACGTATTAACTGTTTTGTTGATAGTCGTCGTTGACGTATGATCCAATTACCTTACACTTTAAATTTTAATTAATTTTGTTACAGATCGTAATATAGTACGGTAGTGAAGAAAATGCGACATTCTTTCTAAAATAAATCATTCGAAAGACTTTATTAGCAAATTCTTGACATTCTCGCTCGTAGATCTGAAATTCTTACTATTCCTTTATACGTCAGTGGTGTCAGCTCTCTCGGCACCTTCTTTATAACGAGGATCCGCTAAATTTGCATCATGGCCGAACAATCAGACATAACCATTCTAGTGTGAAAGCGGGGTAGAAAGAAATTGTCCCACCCAGAATGATAAGAGCGGAGAAGACGAAATAGAGAACAGAGAAGTATTCAGGGGCGACAATGCTGTAGTTTGGTACGCAATGTCATGCACTGGGTTATAGCAGTTTCAGACACAATTTGATCGATTTTTTTTACGATCGTGTATAGAACTTCATAACTGTTAGAGAATAAAAACTGCACTGGAAGTTTAAACTCGACGTTTAATAGGCCCGTATGTCTTATAACAGAACGTTTTATGTCCAAGGATGGAAATGAACTCACCCAATCTATTTTCTACTATCTACTTTGAGTAATGGGTATGTAAGTAACAACAGTGAATGTTTTTAGCTAAGATATTTCTGGGTTGTAGAGCCCTGTAGTCTGGTAGACGTTTACTAACGTTTCAGACGTCCTTGTTGTCTCCATCATCAGTCGATAAACGTCCACCAGAGTACACGGCGAAACAAACCGGAAGACTGCCATATTCGTTGTTATAAATGTTCATGTTATTAACCCTGATGTTTTATTTCTTTCTTACCGTAGGTGCAAACACCCTGTAGCAGAGTTTAATCACACATTACAAAGTCAGGTACGATATTATATGCTTATATTTAATTAGTTATTTACCTTTATCGAGAAATATTTCAACTAAAAATTGTTGATGATTAATCATGGTAAAACTTTTTCATGTATATTACTAGTATCTTGTTCAACGAGCAGGTTTTTTTTAGGTAAAGGACAAAATGTAATTTTAGCATCATGTCAAGTGGGGCTTAGGCTTATATTATAAGCTAGCCGATATGAGCCCAAATTAAATTCCCATTCCACTCTCTGTAGGACCCCAACATCAGACGTAATCGATACTATACTTGTTTCGAGATAAAACACGTATTGAAGCAGGTACGGACTACGTGTTTTGAGTCTCTTTTATGGGTTTTGCGCTGTGCAATTACGTGATTCACTTGCGTCAATAATCAGCAACTCTTTCGTACGATTCTCACTGTAAACAGCGACTATTTCATAAACGGCATTGAACAGTTTGTCTCTGTGACGGTGAAGTGATGTGTTTTCTTTGCGGTACGGACTGTATTCTTAAATATTATTTAGACGTGGTATGTTTATCAAGTCTGTAATTTGTTTGGGCTTAAAAACGTTATGAGTATTAGATATGTGAAGTAAGTATGCTCATTATTATTCACCATGATTTCATTTGATTGACACTTATATTCAGCGTATTACATGCTAGCAGAATGTAGTTGTCGGACATCCCAAGGAAAGTGTAAGGTGTCCCTTGCCAGAAATCGTGGTACATTTAGAATTCCATTGGAAAACCGTATCATGTTTTATCAGTGACCCCTTTGTAGGGATAAGTAGCTATGCTAAGTATGAGTTTGTACGTAGCAACCCTGCAATTACACGAACGAAACTGCTGTTTGAGAACTTTCACTTCATAGGTTTTTGCCTTGTATTGTCATTCTACTTTCCTCTCAAAGTCCTCTCCGTCTTGGCTTCAGTTGCCTTTAAGAAAAACCAGAATTGAGGAAGTTGTTCTCTAGGAATCACTCGCTAAGTGCTATGACCTCGTCTGTGATATCTTTGCAACAGATTTTGTTGCTCATTTTATTAAATTAGATCATGTGTGTGTGTGTGTGTGCATATTCTTTTAGATTTTTACTCTTCAGATGACGATGGTGAAAGTTACGGACGTTTCAGATGAGCTTGCGTTTTCGATTATCAGGGCGATGATGATGGAGGTGAAACGCAACTCTGAAACGTCGGTCAACTTCTACCAGACTACACTGCGCTATAACCCAGTAGACAGTCACCATTCTCGCCGCCCTGAGAACCTGAAAGCTCACCACTCCACGTTCGATCTCCTGTCGAAAATGAGGTTTATACTTGCATGTTTTAAACTGACCTACGTTCCACAAAACTGAATATAAAGTCCCCATTTTTTGGGGGCGTCTTTACGCTTCCGAAGAACACATTTTGGGTTCTTTGATGTCCGTCTGTCTTGTCTTAAATCACAATGTTAAAACAATCATTTTGGAACACGCTGTTGCAACAACGCCCTCGGACGCCTTTGTTGCATTTAATATGTCCCCGACTACCCTGATGACGTCATTGCCCGTGATGTGACGTTAAGAACATTTTAGTGTACTCCAAAGAGTACACATCTCCATTCTTGTTTTTGAGACAGTTCTCCACAGACATGGAATAACGCTGGCAGTACCAGTTCTTCGCAAATTTTGTAATGTCGCAAACTTCATATTAACATTTTTTGTAGTACAACGCGGATACTAATTTCTTTTCCAGTGCTGATTGTTCTTGGACAGCGCCCAGCGTTCTGTTCCTCTCGTTTTTGGGACCTATTTTACAAATAATTTAGCTAATAATAGCCTTTTTCCCGTGGAGGGACACAGGTCAGAATTTCTGAAGGCTTTTATTTTGATTCACGAGTGTGCATGTGATTAAAAAGAGAAATCACATAAATCGAGCTTCAATTGAACGAAATGTGGTTAGGAGATTAACTCCATAACGGGTTTAATGGGACAAAGGCAGAAAATGATTTAATATCCATCTGTTTAATAAAGTATTGTTGGAAAAGGAAATTGTGAATTTTTATCAATTATCTGGACGTCTGCCAAAGGGCTCTGAAGGGAAGTTCAGCCCTCAGAATTACGGACTGAAAACTCTCTCGTAATTAAACCTCAGGCCGAACGGAAATTGTTAACCGCATCACTCCCAAGACGGAAATTGCATTTATGGCTACGGCGAAGAAACGTTTTGCGCTCGCGAAATACAATTTAATTAGCGGTAATTTTATTATGAAGTGAAGCGAGAGACTGCCATGTAAATTGACAATTACGGTACAATAATTTTAGTCACTGACTATTTCATAAACGGCATTGAACAGTTTGTCTCTGTGACGGTGAAGTGATGTGTTTTCTTTGCGGTACGGACTGTATTCTTAAATATTATTTAGACGTGGTATGTTTATCAAGTCTGTAATTTGTTTGGGCTTAAAAACGTTATGAGTATTAGATATGTGAAGTAAGTATGCTCATTATTATTCACCATGATTTCATTTGATTGACACTTATATTCAGCGTATTACATGCTAGCAGAATGTAGTTGTCGGACATCCCAAGGAAAGTGTAAGGTGTCCCTTGCCAGAAATCGTGGTACATTTAGAATTCCATTGGAAAACCGTATCATGTTTTATCAGTGACCCCTTTGTAGGGATAAGTAGCTATGCTAAGTATGAGTTTGTACGTAGCAACCCTGCAATTACACGAACGAAACTGCTGTTTGAGAACTTTCACTTCATAGGTTTTTGCCTTGTATTGTCATTCTACTTTCCTCTCAAAGTCCTCTCCGTCTTGGCTTCAGTTGCCTTTAAGAAAAACCAGAATTGAGGAAGTTGTTCTCTAGGAATCACTCGCTAAGTGCTATGACCTCGTCTGTGATATCTTTGCAACAGATTTTGTTGCTCATTTTATTAAATTAGATCATGTGTGTGTGTGTGTGTGCATATTCTTTTAGATTTTTACTCTTCAGATGACGATGGTGAAAGTTACGGACGTTTCAGATGAGCTTGCGTTTTCGATTATCAGGGCGATGATGATGGAGGTGAAACGCAACTCTGAAACGTCGGTCAACTTCTACCAGACTACACTGCGCTATAACCCAGTAGACAGTCACCATTCTCGCCGCCCTGAGAACCTGAAAGCTCACCACTCCACGTTCGATCTCCTGTCGAAAATGAGGTTTATACTTGCATGTTTTAAACTGACCTACGTTCCACAAAACTGAATATAAAGTCCCCATTTTTTGGGGGCGTCTTTACGCTTCCGAAGAACACATTTTGGGTTCTTTGATGTCCGTCTGTCTTGTCTTAAATCACAATGTTAAAACAATCATTTTGGAACACGCTGTTGCAACAACGCCCTCGGACGCCTTTGTTGCATTTAATATGTCCCCGACTACCCTGATGACGTCATTGCCCGTGATGTGACGTTAAGAACATTTTAGTGTACTCCAAAGAGTACACATCTCCATTCTTGTTTTTGAGACAGTTCTCCACAGACATGGAATAACGCTGGCAGTACCAGTTCTTCGCAAATTTTGTAATGTCGCAAACTTCATATTAACATTTTTTGTAGTACAACGCGGATACTAATTTCTTTTCCAGTGCTGATTGTTCTTGGACAGCGCCCAGCGTTCTGTTCCTCTCGTTTTTGGGACCTATTTTACAAATAATTTAGCTAATAATAGCCTTTTTCCCGTGGAGGGACACAGGTCAGAATTTCTGAAGGCTTTTATTTTGATTCACGAGTGTGCATGTGATTAAAAAGAGAAATCACATAAATCGAGCTTCAATTGAACGAAATGTGGTTAGGAGATTAACTCCATAACGGGTTTAATGGGACAAAGGCAGAAAATGATTTAATATCCATCTGTTTAATAAAGTATTGTTGGAAAAGGAAATTGTGAATTTTTATCAATTATCTGGACGTCTGCCAAAGGGCTCTGAAGGGAAGTTCAGCCCTCAGAATTACGGACTGAAAACTCTCTCGTAATTAAACCTCAGGCCGAACGGAAATTGTTAACCGCATCACTCCCAAGACGGAAATTGCATTTATGGCTACGGCGAAGAAACGTTTTGCGCTCGCGAAATACAATTTAATTAGCGGTAATTTTATTATGAAGTGAAGCGAGAGACTGCCATGTAAATTGACAATTACGGTACAATAATTTTAGTCACTAATATTTAAAACAGTGGGTTTTTTTTTGAGTTTATATTCCTTTGCGTTGTTTAAAAATTACAAGACGGATTTGTATTCCAGACATACGTTGTTCGAATGCCGACCGACACATTTTTCTCACTGAAACGTCTGGTTGATTTCCTGTCAACCCTTGCTAATTTTGTGATAACTACTTCAGATGTAGATGACTGCCTTCCGTCATGGAGGCAGTAAGTACCTCTAAAACGTCGGTTAATTTATACCAGACTACACGATTTTTTTTGTAGTGAGAACTTCAAATCCTACTCTGTCAGATGGGCGAAGAGGATAGTTTATATACCACCTTTAATAATGATACTTGTATCTTACGCTGGCCTTGTAATCCTGGGGTCGCGGGTTCGATTCCCGGCGGTGCCCGAATTTATAACTTGTGATGGGCAAGGCCGTGGTCTAGGCAACACGGAGTTTTCCTCCGGGGGCTTCCCCGGTTTCTCCGTGGCATCCCAACAATTACTCCATTCACACACAGAAGAAGGCAATGGCAAACCACTTCTGGATCATCTGCCAAGAACGTATATGAACAGGTCCCAGTCCGAGGAAAGGATGGAAGGATCCTGTTCATATGGACCTGTCGTCAGACAGAACACTAAATAAAAAATAAAAATAAAAAATCTTATTTAACGCTGGATATTTATGTACCTTCTTGCTCAGTAAAGTGACAAGCCACCAGGGCGTGGATCTTAGTTCAGGAACGGACAGTGACTTTTTCCTTCGATGTTGCGTCCGGACCGGCTCTGGGATTCAACTAACCTTCAATCAAATTAATATTTGTGGCTTTCCC